CTTGGAATCTGACAGTGAGTTCCGGCATATCATCGACATCATTGTCTGCATCTGCCAAGAGCTCATTTCTTTTGGAGTCATCGATATCATCGAATTGTCCACGTAGGTTGAAATCACGTTCATCTTCTTCTTCAGGTTCATAGTCCTGATCGAAGGCTTCCTCTAAGTAACCTTGTTCCGTGTCATCCACTCCTGCAATTTGATTGCCATCTTGAAATGTATCCAAATCTCTCTTCTTATCAAAGAACTTCATGGAAGTAACACCTTTGGCAGCAGCCCAAGCTTCAACACGCTGGATGACTTGATCGGTAACGGGTAGTACGACAACCTTGGGTCGAGAAATCATCTTCTTAGTATTGAGGTTGAGCACTCGGTGCCCTGTACGTTGTCCCTTTGTAGGTTCAATGTAGATCGCTTCAATACTTTGCGGTTCCATCAAATTGTTGGAATCCGTCCCAATTGCATGAACATACTGTCCAAGCTCAGCAACCATGTCACTCTTGTAGTTGATATTGACACTATCAATGAGTTGCTGCGGACTGAAATGTGAGGAAATACTGTCTTTCTGGGGAAAGACATTCAATAGCTCGGCGGCTCGACGTCCAAGACATTCAGTTATCACCTTTCGGACCACTTTGTAGGGTAATCGTGCAAGAGCTACTCTAACTCTTTCTTTCAGCGTCCGATTGTTTCGCTCAGCTGTAGGCTCATGGTCTCCAGCTGCAGTCGGGTCAATAGTAACACCCATATCATCTAGCATATCATCCGTGAGAGGGATGAAAGCTCGATCACACTTGATCGTCTTGACATGAAAGCCTGCCTTATTGTAGTGGCGGAATATCTTATCCAGGTTCAGTCTTGAGGTTCTACAGGGAATACATGAGCGATAACGCACAGTGGTATCAATGCAGGTGAGAAACTTAGCATTCTCGATCTCCATGTGATCAATACAGACGGTAATAGATCGATTATGTTGATACAATTCCTCTGGTGGACTGAAGAAGTCGTCATAGGTCTTCTTTGGAGTTGGTCTTGTTGACTTGCCTTTCAAAGTAGATGCGTCAGGTCCAAAGATTGCTTCAGCATGGTTGATAGCTTCTTCAGTGATAGGACAGTTTTTGATGAGACCAGATCGGATCGCATACTTCAGACTTTTGGTGCTTGGAGCATTGAGTATGTGCAACGCACTTCTCGCTTCCATCGCAGCCTTGTGTTGGTGAAATGGGATCTTAACAAATAAAAGAACAGTCGAACATGTCGGACAGTGAAGTCGGACATTCGTGATATTGAACACGGACGGGAGTACGGTTCGAGTACTTACAGAGATGGATAAGTATTGAAGGTAGATCCAGATCTGTGACTAGTTCGTGAAGAACATGTGCGTATGTGCTTTATGCGCCGCGACAGCTGGTGAGAGCTGACGCAGCTTGCTTCCGGAAGAGATTTTTTGTACCTGCTTGTGGAGATCATTGTTGATCGACTTCTGGCAAGAATAGCAGTAGAATAAGATCTAATAGGAAGTGGTGAGACTGTTCATCCGCAGGTAGAAGCCCAGCATCACTGGCACCTGTTCCTATTGTAGGCAATCCATAGCCGACGTAGATTCGAGCTCAGTATACTC